AAGTGGCTAAGCAAGAATTTGAGGCCATGCTTGCTGATGGTACAGCGAGACCCTCTGATAGTCCCTGGTCGTCACCTCTTCACCTGGCCCCCAAGAAAAATAACGGCTGGAGGCCCTGTGGGGATTACAGACGACTCAACTCAAGGACCATCCCCGACAGATATCCAATTAGACACCTTCACGATTTTGCTTATTCTATTGCTGGCTGTAAAATATTTAGCACTATAGATCTCGTGAAGGCGTATAACCAAATCCCTGTTTGTCCAGAGGATATACCCAAGACGGCTATCACCACCCCATTTGGTATGTACGAATTCCCATTTATGACATTTGGTCTGCGCAATGCAGGCCAAACATTTCAGCGATTCGTCGATGAGATGACGCGCGGGCTGGACTTCGTATACTGCTACTGTGATGACTTTCTAGTCTTTTCTAGAAGTCAGCCGGAGCACGAACATCACTTACGGCTACTGTTCACTAGACTCAGGAAGTACGGTATGGTGATTAATGTATCCAAGTGCGTATTTGGAGTTCCCGAGGTAACCTTCCTAGGTTATCGCATTTCGGAGAGCGGTACCAAACCCTTGGACACTAAGGTAGAAGCTATCCGTAACTTCCCAGCACTAAAGACTGTCAAGCAGTTAAGAGGTTTCTTGGGCATGGCGAACTTTTATCGTCGTTTTTTGCCAAACGCAGCTCTTACCCAGGCTCCCCTCAATAAGCTTCTTACCGGTGCAGTCAATGGTTCAACTCCCATTGATTTAAATGGCGATGCTCAGAAGGCTTTCCAAGACACCAAGGAAAGCCTACTCAATGCTGCAATGCTTGCCCACCCTGATTGCCGAGCCAAGTTAGCATTGGTGACTGATGCGTCAGACTTAGCCATGGGAGCTGTACTTCAACAGCTGATCGAAGGTAAGTGGCAGCCATTAGCTTTCTTCTCTCGGAAACTGAGTCCAGCTCAAGCGAAATACTCACCATACGATCGAGAGCTTCTCGCTATCTATGAGGCCATCAAGTACTTTCGCCACATGCTGGAGGCGAGGCACTTCACAGTGTTTACGGACCACAAACCCCTTACTTACGCTTTTAGTGATCGAAAACACAACTGTTCACCCCGCCAGCACAGACACTTGGACTATATCTCACAGTTTACAACCGACATAAAGCACATTTCCGGTAAGGACAATGTCGTTGCCGATGCTTTATCTCGCGTCGAAGCACTGGAAGCTCCAATCTGTCTAGAGGATTTAGCTCGTTCGCAATCGTCTGATCCTGAACTGGCTGAGTACCTGACTAATTCTTCTTCCATCCGCTTGCAACAAATTACCGTTCCTGGGAGTCGTACGCTTCTGTACTGCGATGTCAGTACATCAACACCCAGGCCATTCGTTACAAAACAATTTCGCAAGCCAATTTTTCACAGCCTGCACTCTCTTAGCCATCCAGGGGCCAATACGACTGCTCAATTAGTAGCTCAGCGATTTGTTTGGCCCGGAGTCCGAAAAGACGTCAGAGAGTGGACACGTGGTTGTCTACAGTGTCAGCGGGCAAAAGTAACACGACATGTCTCTGCGCCTATAGGTAATTTTAACCTGCCGCGAGCCAGATTTAAACATGTCCACATTGACTTAATAGGCCCTCTCCCGATTTCGAACGTCTACCGCTACTGTTTGACAGCCGTCGATCGATTTACCAGGTGGCCTGAAGTCTGTCCAATTATGGACATTACTGCTGAGACTGTAGCGAAGTCTCTTATTACCAGCTGGATATCTAGATTCGGATGTCCTATAGACATCGTTACAGATCGCGGTCGACAATTTGAGTCCGCATTGTTCCAGTGTCTTGCGAAATTTGTAGGGTTCCAGCATAAACGCACTACAGCATATAGGCAACTCAAAGCAGCTATTACTTGCCACGCCGATGTTAACTGGACAGAATCCCTTCCATTAGTGCTCCTGGGCGTCCGAACTGCTTTTAAGGATGACTTGCAGGCTTCCTCGGCTGTGTTACTGTATGGCGAGCCTCTCAGACTTCCTGGCGAATTCTTCAACCCCAGTTCAAGCGGTACCACTGACTTGTCAGATTTCACCGCAAGGCTGCGTTCCTTCGCTGAGAAATTGCAACCAATAGCAGCTTCTCGTCATCACAAGGGCAGAGTATTCATTTTCAAAGAGCTAGCCACCGCGGATCATGTCTTCCTCCGTGAAGATGCTTCGCGGGCTCCCTTTCAACCAGCATATTCTGGCCCTCATAAAGTTTTAGCACGCAGTGATAAAACATTTAAAATATTTATCAAAGGTAATAAGGTAACCGTCAGCATTGATCGCCTAAAACCTGCTTTTATATTGGTTGATGACGATGATGCTGATATTTCCTCACAAAAATCAACACAAAATAAGGTAACAGAATCGTCACCACACATTCCCTCAACACCTACAAATATGTATCGAACAACACGTTCTGGAAGACATGTGCGTTTTCCAGATTTTTATCGTCCCTAACCAGGCCTTTGGGGGGGAGTGATGTGGCAACATTATATTATTTTCCACATATACTAATAAATAAACATAATATACATAATTATAAATAACATACATATCATATATAACAAAATATTATACATATTAAATATACATAATTATATTATATATAAACAAATATTCACAAAAACATTAAATTACCATATTAAATATCTATTTATAATGACGTGCCAATTTGTCGTAAGTTCGGAATGGACACGCGCACTCTAAACGAGTTCCTAGTTAAATTCTTTTGTTCGCGTAACCGACTCCTGCGCCGGCCGTTCATTCATTAGCCGCGCGCACCAGTCTGTATCACGATCCCACGGCGAATGCATGACTGTTTGCGCTCCGTTCGGACTACTCAAACCTATTGTTATTGCGTATGTTCTACATTATAAATAGTTGTAAGACCTGCCATTAATTATTCCAGTGTGTTACTAGCCCTTCTGTGACTGTAAAAATTGGATTAGGTAAATTAAAGTGAATATTCAAAGTGACGTGTTTGAATTGAACTAAGACTCGACGTCTACCTATATTTCATCTGCTACCTAACCATAATGGGTAACTCGCACTTGACTTTTGAGGAGTTGTCCACTTTATTTGCCCAAATAGAAGCTGTGTTAAATAGTCGCCCCATATGTCCTCTATCCAGTTCTCCCGACGACTTTTCTTGCCTCACCCCCGATCACTTTCTGATTGGTCGAGCTCTGACAACTTTACCGGCACCAGCATTGGAAGATCACACCTCTAATAACTTGCAACGCTACGCACGCCTTCAACAAATCCATCAGCATTTTTGGCGACGCTGGCAGCAAGAATTCCTTGCAGAAATCCAACAGAGAAGTAAATGGAGAGTGAATAAAGCCAATGCCAAAGTAGGTGATCTGGTACTTCTGAAAGAAGACAATCTACCTCCACTTTGTTGGCGTCTTGGACGCATCTACAAACTGTTTCCTGGCTCTGACAATATATCAAGAGTTGCTGATGTAAAGACTCAAAGGGGAGTCGTGCGACGTCCATTAGTTCGCCTGTGCCCCTTACTCTCATTGGACCACACTCAAGTTTGAAAGCCAGAGCTTTCCACGGGCGGGAGGATGTTCGCGCCTGCGTTTAGACAGCAGCAATCTCCCATGGACCAAGAAGCGATTTATTTCATAGGAACTTTTTACTTTTAACACTACTTTCAGATTTTTGTCATTCACATTCTTCTCATGTAATGGCGTCGTACTAGATCCATTTAAATAATCAAAAGTTTATGTTAAAGTATCGAAATACAAACGTTTACCACATTACGGAGTTTCATTTATGTCCAAAGAAGAGACCTCCATCACCTTCGATATATATTGAATGAACTGGTCATTCGATATATATCGAAGGTGATATAATATCTACGCCGCGAGAATTGGGCCCCAGAGTCATACATACCGGTAGACAATCACGTTGCTTAGGCGGGCACAGCGCCTTAAGCCGCGTATCCACTAGAGACAGCCTCGGGTCGAGCGGCTGCCTCACTCCGAGGCTGCGCAAGTGGAGACGCTGCCTCAACCTGAGGCACGCCGCGACGTGAGGCAAATTCGTCGCCGCGAGCCGAGCCATATTTTGTCGGTTTCTGTGCCGTGCTCAAAGGCGCCTCAGTCCGAGCCATGTGTTTAATTGAGACGGTAGCTAAAATGTCGAAAGCTATCGTCACCTTCCAACGTCATGTCCAATAGCAAGTGTTCACATCCATGTATAGTTCTATTGCGGTATAATTCTTTTATCCACCAGCGATGCTTCTTCTTTTGTATAGCTTTTTGTTGCCTTCTCCTTTTCTTAATAATGGTTATTGCTATTAAAGCAGCGGCTACTCGACGCGCGTCTGGTGCCATCGCGTTTTGGCTTTTAACTGCGCAGTGCGCCGCCAGCGGATCAAGCTGAGGCGACACGCCTCGAGCTGATCCGTAGCAATTGCCTCAGAGCGAGCAGCCTCAAACTGAGGCTATTTGCTTCAAGTTGAGGCCGCTCGACGCGAGGCTGCCTCTAGTGGATACGCGGCTTTAGACTCTGCGCCAGTGTGAGTTAAACCGTGTGGGATGAGGCAACGCGCGAGTTATATTTTAGCGTCCATAAGCGTCTATAGGTTATGGTGGCCGTTTACCATCAGGCAGGCCGCATGTTTATTGGCCACCCTATTTATTAAAATAGGGTGGCCCATAAACATGCGGTCTTTTTATTTCAAAGAAAAATGTTATAGCTGTTAACGGGATTGTTACCATGTACCTTGTTTTTTATGAGTCTCCGATATATCGGCACTGTTGCAAACGCCATGATCACGGATTAACTGGTAACAATCCCGTTAATAGCTATAATGTTAGTGACCGTGAAAGTTTAAAACAATATAAAGAAAAATGTGTTTAACCGCAATTCCTATTATTTTAAAATGAATTTAAAAATCTGTTTATTATTGTAATAATTGTTGGTTGTTTGATATTTTAGATACATGGACAGTATAGCGGAACAGACTTTGCAGCAGTGGGCTTCATATTGTGTTAAAACAGGAACTTTTGTCATGGCAGCCGTATGGTAAAAATAATTTTCTTTTGTTTGTCTTTTCATATTTAAAGATGTTTGTATAATGAAAATAATCAAATTATATAACTTTTTTTCAGTTATATTGCTTTGGGAGAGTTATCGCAAGCGGCTGCTTCTCTTGGAAAATTGAATGATCAAGACTCCTTGAAGTTAGCAGCAGATATAGCTAAAATCATAGGTCACAATATATTTGCAGAACACGTTATAGAAAAACGAGAAATTATCAAGAACAGTATTGATATTGTTGATAAGACTGAGGAGATATTGAAAGAATTACCCTCCAGAATGGAGGCTCTTTTGAGTAATGGTGATAAGAAACAAAATGGTGAAACATATTCTAATGGAACCACTGTTCTTAACGGCAGTGGAGATGCCAAAGAGTGAATTATATGCTCTCTTAAGTGTTAATTAGTTGGTCAATGTTGATTCTACATTAAGCATTTATAGGATTAAATGTATCACAATACATTCGACAAATCACATATTCTTTCATAGTTTTGTCAATTAGTAGCATGCAGCCGATTGTATACAATTATGAGAGGATCTTCCATTATTACTGTGTTACTACAACATAAGTGTTTTATTGAAAACTATTACAATATGTTTTTTAACATGTCATCATGTTCGGTTGGGTTTTGTTGATGTTTTGATCTCAACTTGTAATATTGTAACCCCAATAAAACTGTTATTTCCCTAAGTGTTTTTTTACTATTGTCACAAACGCTCCCGAAACAAAACCGCGAAAATACTAGACAGAATTTACCAGAACACCGAAGACCGCGGTAAAGGTGGTGCGGCTCATTCTAATATGAGTCTTATGCAGTGGTGTAAGGGAGAAAGTGCAATGACATCTGCACTTGTTTACAACTTATGCGCGTTACCTGCGTAGGTACTGCGCACTTGCTAGTTAACTTTCAATTTAACGGGACTTTTCTTGAATGCGTCGATTGGCGTATATAAGCGCGATCGGCGCCGCGCAATGACAGTTGAGTTTTTGCAGCGATTTCGAATACAAAGGCGATAAAATTGCAAGTAAAGTGTTCAAGTGCGATTGTTTAAAGACTTGTATAGTGTGAAAGAGGAGGTCGATGGCGCAGGTGGTTAGCGCGTTCGGTTGCGATAGTTTAAGTTAAGCAACTTTCGCAGTGGTCGGTCATTGGATGGGTGACCAAAAATCTTCTATCTCGAGTTCCTCCGTGCTTCGGAAGACACGTTAAGCCGTTGGTCCCGGTTGCATCTGCAGTCGTTAGCACCCGCCAATCCGCTCTGGGTCCTCGTAAGTGGGTCATGGCCCAATCTCCCTATTCCATCCATAGGGAAGGCCTGTCCTCCAGCAGTGGGGACATTAATAGGCTGATGATGATAGTGTGAAGTACAGTGTTTTGTGAGTGTATTGTGATTAAGATTGTGTGTCAACTGTGTGGTGAATAATGTACTGTCAAGCGTGAACTGGCATATAATTTCAAACCCAGTCCCGACACGTAACACTGTAATAAAACAAAACTATCAAATCAGTTATTTATTTTGTGTATAATAATCGTACTTCAATTGCATGGAATTGGTTATTTGAGACATTCTGAGAATTGTGCGCCATTTAAATAAAATTATTGACAAATATAACTTTTAAGAGCATTAACAGTATGTGGATCAATTTCTTATGCTACGTAGTTTATTAATATAATTCGATAAAGGTTTAATTTCTATTTTAGTATCATAATTTTATATACATGCAAAAGACGACTTACAATTTGATTAATTATAATTATTATGTATTCACTATAGACATATAAAATTATCAGGCACCATAAAGTTTAAGTACAGCTCAGATAATCTAATAATACTTAATTGTATTGTACCATAATCACAACAACTTCTAAATTTACTTGGCAAACAATTCGCGATGGCACTTAAACCAATCACAGTAAAGATCTCCAACGGTCGATTGATTTTCGTTGTATATTAAATGCTTCTTGGAATGTTCGAAACATTCAGTCTTAATTTCGTACACATCCCTTTGCGTGTCAGTTGATTTAAACTCTGGACTACCGCCAATAACAGTGCAAGCTGTTGTTTTGACTATTGTGTACTTTCGTCGTAAAGGAAATTTCTCCATTATTGAGATACTAATTTTGTCTCAAGCTTGTTCAGAAATGTCTTGGCTTTCCATGTCAGACTTCTTCCCTCTCTTTTTGCATATTTGAATCAATTTGGCGTTCATCTTCTTCAGTTTCTGGTTTTCCTTCATGACGTCAGTTATTTGTTGATTCTGTAGAGAAAAGCAGTGAAAATTATTAACAATAAAATAACGTATTTTTTTTCCGACGGATTAAAAGATGAAAAAATATGGCCTTCAAATATTAACTAAAATTAATATGAAGAAGTCATTACCTGTACAATAGCACTGCCAGTTGCAATATACAACGGATTCGGTGTTGGTGTAGATGTCACAGAGATCAATTGGTGTTCTAGAGACGCCTTTTGTTGAGAAAGCATGTCTACAGCCTGAAATATGAAGGAAAGTGTATTAGACATAAATTGTTGAATTTAATATTAAATGAGTTAAATTAGTAAAGAGTGAGGTCTTACCGACTTAAGTCGCCTTAATTCGTTTGCGTTGTCATCGTGTTCTACTCGATTGTTGAGGATATCTAAATAAAAAACAATCGGAAATGATTTGGTTAATTTGCATTACTGCACAATATATCACAAAAAAATATAATATGGATAGTTTTATACATTATTATATCGGTACATTTATCGGCATTATAGTTGTATTTGTTTCTTAGGTTTTCACGCACATCACTCATTAAATAAAACAGTTTTTACGGGTTATATGTACTGAATTTATTTATTTATTGACGTTTCGCATCCATCATCGGAATAATGTATGAAGCATTCCTGAAAAGGATGCGAAACGCTAATAAATAAATAAATTCAGTGCATATAACCCGTAAAAAATTGTTTTATTATAGTTGTAGCTATTCTATATCGGTACTCAGTAATTTCTTAAACCTGTTTACATTCAGCCCATTGGTGCGGCAACAATGAGGAACATGGCACATAAAATGGGTAACGCGAGCATGTTCTGCTAACTAACTTCGTGTCTCAATAGTGTTTCAGTAGGGAATATTACGCAAAGCTTGGCGCAGAGGACACAACTAGCACATACAATAAAAAAGCACCATGGTGCACAATATCGTATTGCTGCCATATGTTATTTTGTGAAAATATGCCAGTTCAAGTATTCCTTGTTTAACTTGTTAGGTCCTTAAGGACCTACCTTAGGGCTAGTTTAATTGGCGTGTTAGAATTATTCATCTACCATTATTATTATGGAGAGTGCTTTAAAGCAACACGAATATCAATAGCAGTGGTTGAATGTAAACGGTGTATTAGTATTTTGGTTAATATCCAATGAGTGATAAGGGTCAACTTATACTAGCGTAGAGTCAAAGCGCACCGAAGCGTAAAATTCTTCACAACTAAAGCGAAGTTGCACATATGCGTGAGAATACCCTTTTATCAGCAGCAGTGCTATTGCATCACTTCCCAGTTGATCTATCAACACAGGCTAATTTCCGACTGATGACGCGTAGGTTGGTTAGTGAGCGCTCGGATTCGCGAGAAAACGCGCAATCAGCGCGTCACGCGTTGGTCACGCGCAGTCGCGCGAATTCCATCGAATCGCGAGTGCGAGTTTTTTTAAATCTCCGAAGTAATGTGCGCAGTCCGCAGTGGAGATAAGGTTGAATTTGTTATGTTAATAATTGGATTTACGCTTCGATGCGCTTCGACTCTGCGCTAGTATAAATTGACCCTAAGATAATCAATCTTACCGTCCCCGGTATCAGTGGAAGCATCAGCGATGTCAGCATCAGGGCGGCGCCGCTGGTCATGAGCGCTCTGCCGCTTCTTGCGGACAGATTGCGTCATGTTGGACAACTTATCCTCGTATTCTACCAGTTTAGCCTTCACATAGACATGATAACATAACTCAGACACATACGGTTCAATACATTCATCATTAGCATATTAATTTTGCCACTGCTGGGGTGCAGGCCTGCCTTATGGATGGAATAGGGAGATTGGGCCGTGAGGCCCAGTGCGGATTGGTGGGTGCTAACGACTGCAGATAGAACCAAGACCAACGTCTTAAAGTGCCTTTAGAAGCTCGAGATAATAAATTGTTGGTCACCCATATAGTTACCGACCCCTGCGAAAATTGCTTAAGTTCAATGATCGCAGCCGAACGCGCTAACCAGCCAACCACTTGCGCCATCGAGCTCTTCATTTTATATATCAATACATTAATCTTCAGTAAAAAGTAAAGTTATTCTGGTTAAGTTTCTTAGCAACTTGCCTAACTTTAATAACATCAATTTTATACTGTAACTTAGTTCAGGCATCCTTTATTTTGTACTTTTTATTATTATTATGTAATGTTAAACTTTTCTTACTAAATAAGTATATATGTAATACTATTATAATTAGATCATTACACGTATAGTGTGGCCATTTTAAAGAATTTATCTCCAGTCAAAATAGGATAGTTCTGGGTTATTTTGTTACCAACACCTGTGAATTCAATCTGAATAATAAAAATATCTAGATAACAAAGTTCTATTGGCTTAATTCTTACTGGAGATTGATTAAATTTAATGTCAATTGACCAGTAAGTTAACTTCAACTCTATGCTTCGACTCTTTATTTGATATAAATTATGACGTCACACCAAGTGTCCCAAAATGGGGAGCGTTTTAAATGCCCGAACAATGTGGATAGTTTTATAAATTTTAGACACGTTTTACTATTCGTCACGTCGAAAAGACAGGATATTTGGTGAATAAAAAAAAACATGCATATTCCCTATTATTTTCCTTAGTTACTCTGTTTCCTTACCTCCAGCACTGCCTTCGCTTCCTTCAACTTACGGCAATGCTCATCCATTTCCCCTAAATACTGAGCGCAAGAGTCGTACTCCGCACCTAGTTTCTTATAATTCTCTCTCAATTCCTTCACTTCTTGTTTGCACGCTTTGAGTTCCGCTTTTGTGACTTCGAGTTCTTTACTGAGTTTAAATGAAACAATTGAAGCACAAGATATTAGACTTTTATAAACTAACTGTCCCAGCGAACTTCGTACCGTCATAAAAAAATAGAGGTTGGTGGAAGAAGGGAGAAAATTTAGGGTTGTATGTATTTTTGTATGATGTATCATAAAAAAATTAAAAACAAAAATAAATAAATTTAAGGGTTGACGATTGTACGATTCTCAGACCTACTGAATATGCATATAAAATTTCACTAAAATCGGTCGAGCCGTTTCGGAGTAGTTCAATTACGCACACCGTGACACGAGAAATTTATATATTAGATATTGTAGAGGAAAATAAAGTTAAAAATTTTGTGATGAATGTACTCAAATAATACTGAATCGATTTCAAAACATCTTCCACCATAAGAATCCTCCTTAGATTAAGTAAAGGTTTTTAGTAACATTCTTTATGGCGTTAAAATAAAGTTCAGCCGTACAAAGCCAGGGCGACTTGCTAGCTTTTTCATATATTGATATCTCAAATTAGACTGAGAGCGAGTGAAAGTGTGCCAGCTGCAAAAATATGCATAAATATACTAAATGTAATTAACGGATGAGCTAAGTTTAAGTAAATAATACTTTACTTGCCTACCGCATAAGGGATATATTGCGAGAAGGGTAAAACGTAGGTCTTTGTAAATGTTATTAGGTAACAAAAATAATTAAAAACTGTTTTAAAATCCGACATATCAATTGCGAATTCTTATAAAGAAAAACGTAAAAATAAAAATACTGTAAAATTAGTTTCATTACGTGTTATCTCGTGCCAAATTCCTGTCCAATGCCTTTTGCATTTTAGCGATTACGTTCTTAAGCTCTTGCTTCTTGTATCTTAACTCTTCTATGAGTTTGGTCAATCTTTTGTTCTTCTCAACTTCTGCATCAAAGGACATTCGGTCGACAACCACCGAGTGAAGGTTAGTCCAGTCTGAAAATATAGCATTTTATTTGTTATAGTGATTTTTATCAATACTGAAATAAGCATTTTGTAGAGTGGACCCATATTAATTAAAACCCTGAGTAATGCTCATTTTTAGATTAAAATAAGGAAAATATTTAAATGATCAATAAAAAAAGTTTAGGTTAGTAGTTGTATTTTTTGGTGAATATCTACTATTTTCGCTGATCAGTTAAACATTAGCCTTAAAATAATAATAACAACAGTATACAAAACTAATTGAACTAAAAAAAATGGTATAAGTAAATTACCTTCATCAGTGTTTACAAATGCATCAGCAAAAGCGCGTTTAGGTGCTTGTTGACTTCTGTTCGGATTAACAGATTTTAGTTTTTCTTGTAATTCAGAGATAACGTTCTGCAATCATTCAAAAATAACAAAGTTAAAGTAGTTTGCGATTGGACTGCATTATTGTAAAAGAGATCATAAGTATATTTGATTATAATGCAATTCAACTTAGAATAGGACCGAATGGGCGCCATATTGTGACGTCATAGCTGCCAATTCAAACCAAATAGTGAGTGTTTCTCATATTTGATACATCTGATTTTTTATTAATAATATTCGTTTCATTAAGACTGTGAAAGAAAAAACATTAATCAGAATCTAGCTTTTCAATTCCGCTCATCCCTGCATTACCGCCGGAGTATTTATGAATAATCGTGCACTATTACTAGATCACATACGAACATGCATCCTTTATGTAAACAAAAGTTTTAAATCGAGTTTATGAACGCAACTTCAAGTGAAATTTGGTTGAAGATTTAGGTTTTCGACCATATATAGCCAAAGCTCAATAAATGAAAGAAAAATATCAACCAATATTAATTATCAATATTTGTTATTGTTTGTTTTCAAATGTTTGGTTTTCATTCTAGAATGAGCAGAGTGCTAAAAAAAGGGTACCAAGTTTTTTTTGCAAACCGTACTTTTCAAGCGACATTTGGCAGATGGAAGTCATTGGCTTTCCTATTCTTATTTGAATCGCACTATAAGCCGTCACATTACAATACAATACAATACACAATTCTTTATTGAAAACACCACAAGTACATAAATGGGGTAAATACATTATGTTTAAACATAGTGATTCAATGGGCGGTCTTATCGCTAAAAGCGATTTCTTCCAGACAACCTTTGGATGGAGAGGATTGAAAGAAACTGGAATCGGTGGTGTTATAAAAAAATAAAAATAAAAACAAGGGATATAAAAATGTATATAACTATATATTTTAAATATATGTACATACCATACATACATAATATATACACATAATATAACTATAAGATATATACATATAATACAAATATATGACACATACATACATAGACTACAAATATATAAGTTTAGTCCAGTCAGAAAAAAAATAATGAAAATATAAATAGATTGTGCTCGTCTTACGGTTACTGGAAGAGAATTCCACAGGCGAACAGCTTGGACGGCAAAAGAACGACCATAGAAGGTTGTGTCATGAGTAGGAATTTTTAGGGTTAAATTTTCTGATGACCTAAGAGATAACGCGTTTGAGCTATGAAGGTAATTGAAGCATTCCTTGAGATAGCGCGGGGACAAAGGATTGAACAATATATTGTAGAGAAGTGTGAGGATGTGAGTATTCCGGCGAAATCGAATTGGTAGCCACTTGAGCTGTGATCGAAATTGTGACACATGATCATATTTGCGTAAGCTAAATATGAAACGAATACAGAAATTTTGAAGTCGCTCAAGCTTATTAAGCTGGTCTTCCGTGAGATCAAGATAGCAGGCGTCAGCGTAATCAAGAATAGGAAGCAGCAGAGACTGTGCTAGGGAAATTTTGGTAGCAGTTGGGAGGAAATTGCGGAGTCTCTTCAGCGAGGCTGCCGAAGCAAACAGTTTTCGGCTAACAGCTTGTAACTGTGGACCCCAGCTCAAGCAATTATCGACAGTTAATCCTAAATTTTGAACAGAAACTTTGAATGGTATATTGGTGCCAGCAAGAGTTATGGTAGGAAGTAATTGCCAGTGCACTCTGGCAATCAACCTCGAGCTACCAATGATGATGCACTGTGTTTTGGTGGGATTTACTTCTAGCCCAAAAGATTCGCTCCACTCTACAATTTGTCGCAGATCATTATTTGTGGCCAGTATTGCTTCGGATAATTGTCCGAGAGGGGCTTGCCTAGAAATTTGAAGATCATCTGCATACAGGAAGAAGAAATATTATTGGAAATAGAATTAATAAATATAGCGAAGAGAAGAGGAGATAAAACGCCGCCTTGGGGAACACCAGCAGAAGTGTCGCTCCATGAGGAAAAAATCTCATCGAGGCGAACCCTCTGCCTGCGTCCCTGCAGATAGCTGCGAAACCACTCAATTGCCGATGGAGATACGTTAAGAGAGCGCAGCAAAGCCAGAAGAATGTCAAAATTTACAGTATTAAAGGCATTTCTGAAGTCCAATAACGTCAATACTGTGAGATGACCTTGATCCATCCCATGGCGTATGTCATCTGTAATTTTCAGGAGGGTAGTCGTAGTACTATGCCCAGGACGGAAACCGGATTGAAGAGGATTAAAAAGATTATGACGAGACAGGAATGTAGTGAATTGGTTAAGGACAAGACGTTCAAGGACTTTAGACAAGAAAGGAAGGATAGAAATAGGCCGGAAAACAGCAAGAAATTGAGGATTAGATTTTTTGAGCAACGGGATGATTTGGGCCTCTTTCCAAGCCGATGGAAAAACAGCATTTGATAAAGAGCTATTAAAAAGAAAGGTAAGGATTGGAAGGATTATATCTAAGATAGGTATCAGCATATTACGACTAATGCTATCATTACCAACCGCATTGGAAGAAATGGATAGCATGCTCTTCTTAACGTCACATTCGGAAAATTGAGTAAAGGCAAAAGGAGAGTATGTAGTCTGGAACTGGTAAAGATGAAAGAATATTTATAGTATTAGCCTTGTGCAAATCACTGAGACTAGAAGATACAGAGAAATGAACATTAAGTGAATTGACATCGATGTTACTAGGAAAAGACGTTTGACGAGGTTTACCAATTCCAAGTGACCTAAGGAAGATCCACACTTTAGAAGGATCAGTGTTGCTGACAGATGCATGAATATGGCGACGTAAAGCATCCCTACACACCATGTTACAGTGATTGCGAGCCTTTGCATAGTTATTTTTATTAGAGTCTGTCGGACGAATTTTATATTTACACTTAGCCACGTTCTTTTTGTGTATCAACGCTTTTATGTCTGGTGTGAGCCAAGGTGCTGGATGGTGCTTAAGCTTAATGGGACGAAACGGTGCATGTTTATCATAAAGCTTGGTTATAATATTGTTAAAAGTATGCACTTGTTCGTCAAAAGTTTTAAATCGAGTTTATGAACGCAACTTCAAGTGAAATTTGGTTGAAGATTTAGGTTTTCGACCATATATAGCCAAAGCTCAATAAATGAAAGAAAAATATCAACCAATATTAATTATCAATATTTGTTATTGTTTGTTTTCAAATGTTTGGTTTTCATTCTAGAATGAGCAGAGTGCTAAAAAAAGGGTACCAAGTTTTTTTTGCAAACCGTACTTTTCAAGCGACATTTGGCAGATGGAAGTCATTGGCTTTCCTATTCTTATTTGAATCGCACTATAAGCCGTCACATTACAATACAATACAATACACAATTCTTTATTGAAAACACCACAAGTACATAAATGGGGTAAATACATTATGTTTAAACATAGTGATTCAATGGGCGGTCTTATCGCTAAAAGCGATTTCTTCCAGACAACCTTTGGATGGAGAGGATTGAAAGAAACTGGAATCGGTGGTGTTATAAAAAAATAAAAATAAAAACAAGGGATATAAAAATGTATTAGCCAAGTATTAGCCTTGTGCAAATCACTGAGACTAGAAGATACAGAGAAATGAACATTAAGTGAATTGACATCGATGTTACTAGGAAAAGACGTTTGACGAGGTTTACCAATTCCAAGTGACCTAAGGAAGATCCACACTTTAGAAGGATCAGTGTTGCTGACAGATGCATGAATATGGCGACGTAAAGCATCCCTACACACCATGTTACAGTGATTGCGAGCCTTTGCATAGTTATTTTTATTAGAGTCTGTCGGACGAATTTTATATTTACACTTAGCCACGTTCTTTTTGTGTATCAACGCTTTTATGTCTGGTGTGAGCCAAGGTGCTGGATGGTGCTTAAGCTTAATGGGACGAAACGGTGCATGTTTATCATAAAGCTTGGTTATAATATTGTTAAAAGTATGCACTTGTTCGTCAACTGTAGTCGCGCTAGTCACTAACGACCAGTCGACATCATGCAGGTCTTTGAGCAACGCTTCCTGATCTATTCCACCAAAATTTCGCTGAAGAATGACTTTCGGATTGGGCTTAGGAGGACGAATCTTGTACGATAAGAAAATCAAGTCATGGTATGAGAATGCATCTGCCGCACATTGACCGTGCATCATAACACGTTGAGGAGAAGATACTATTAATAAGTCGAGAAGTGAGGGAGTAGTATTAGGGAAATGATGGGTAGCGCTAAGTGGAAGGATGTGCAAATTACATGAACTGATAACGGATTGAAGAGAGGTGGCACGAAAATCACCTTTTAAGAGACATGTGTTGAAGTCACCCATGATCAGGGAATGGTCATAAGACGGGACGATATCTTCTAAAAGCTGTTCAAAAGAACTGAAAAAAATTACATTTAAGGAAGGGCTGTAATAGACTCCGAGGAGGATTTTGGTGTGGGAAAGGAGTACCTCAACGAACAAATGCTCACCAGCATTAATTGGTGGAGGCTGTGTGGAGGAGCTAATGACATTAAAAGGAATACCAGTACGCAGATAAATAGCAACTCCACCGCCTCGCGAACCAGTGCGGTCGTTGCGTATTAACTGATCTAATCACATTCCCAAATTATAGGTAAAAAATGGCACGGGTTTTATTTGTGCTATTTAATAATAAACATTATTAAATTACCGTCAGAGATGCTTTTTCCTTCTTGAGTCGTAAACACTGTTCTTCTCTTTCCCGCAGGTACTGTGAGCATATCTCACACTCTTCATCTACTTCTCGGTACCGTTCTTTTAGCTCTTCTAACTCTTGTTGGCATGTAGAAAGTTGCTCACGCAGTTGGGCCACTTCGCTAAGAATTTAACATTCCAATTTGATACATCGATATAGTAAAACATGCTTATTACTTGTACAATGCATTTCAGAATAAATAGAAATCTAAAAAAAAAATATTAAAAGCTTGTTACCTCTGTATATTATTGTTATCTATATCTGATGGTTTTAAATCAGTGGAATTGTTTTGCGTACTTGAATTCCGTTCTGAAAAGGTGCAATAGTGTCAATAAATCTAGGTATAATTAAGAGTTAAATAAGTAAATTAGACAACCTAAAAGTTTTTAAGCAATTATTCTTTATAATTATGCTTGAACAGCAAGGCTGTATTGGCGCGCACTCTACAAAAGACCTCACGTCCCAGTGGCGCCAACTGATGACGTAATTTATTTTTATTGATATGTACGACAAATGACTCCACCCCACCTGATGTTAAGTGAAGGTGAAGTCCAAATGCGAAGATAGCTGATACAGCAGTTCTACCTGCCCCACCAGCCATCCTCACCCTGCCGGCCTTTTTTTTTTTAATACGCAGGTAAAAAATCTATTTACAGACGACGGCGCCTTTAAGAGGCACACCGCCGAACGGACCTCATACCTGGCTCCCGCAAGTCTTACGAACCCCCCAGTGGCTGCCCACCAAGGACCTCGCAACTCTTACGGGCGCTTTACGGTATAATATCCGTTAAAAAAATCCTGCGAATACCCTCTAAGCTGCTTAGCACGGAGCTGCGGGATCCCCGTTTAAGGATTCTTCCGCGTCTCCGCACCTAGCAGCCCCCGGTCTAGCCGGGGCTCCACGGCAGGGGTCTCCCGGGGTATCACGGGGACCCCGCAGACGTGCGCGGGTAGGCCCGCGCGTGGGGGCTGAGTACGCGGCCTAGTGCCCACCGCACCGCCCCCTCACCCTGCCGGCCTGCATGTTGCTTCTTCAAGCCTCTTTTAAAGGATCCCAGGTTGTAAGAGGGAGGGAACACGTGAGCGGGCAAAGCATTCCATTTACGGATAGTGCGACAAAGAAATGAGTCACCAAATTTCATTGTACGCGTTGGTATTGTGGCCACAGTTAGACGGTGACAAACGTAAGCTAGCGCGCGTGGTCCTCTTTAAGAGGCACACCGCCGAACGGACCTCACACCTGGCTCCCGCAAGTCTTACGAACCCCCCAGTGGCTGCCCACCAAGGACCTCGCAACTCTTACGGGCGCTTTACGGTATAATATCCGTTAAAAAAATCCTGCGAATACCCTCTAAGCTGCTTAGCACGGAGCTGCGGGATCCCCGTTTAAGGATTCTTCCGCGTCTCCGCACCTAGCAGCCCCCGGTCTAGCCGGGGCTCCACGGCAGGGGTCTCCCGGGGTATCACGGGGACCCCGCAGACGTGCGCGGGTAGGCCCGCCCGTGGGAGCTGAGTACGCGGCCTAGTGCCCACCGTACCACCCCCTCACCCTGCCGGCCTGCATGTTGCTTCTTCAAGCCTCTTTTAAAGGATCCCAGGTTGTAAGAGGAGGGAGGAACACGTGAGCGGGCAAAGCATTCCATTTACGGATAGTGCGACAAAGAAATGAGTCACCAAATTTCATTGTACGCGTTGGTATTGTGGCCACAGTTAGACGGTGACAAACGTTAGCTAGCGCGCGTGGTCCTCTGAAGGAAAGGGCAAGGTTTTATCTAGATAGGAATCAACGTTGAATGTATTTTCTGACCGTGCGGCGAGGGTGTGTGCTGTACTCCGATGCGATGCAGGTCGTGTGAACTCTGCCGACGGCGACGGGTCGCGACCACGCTGCTAGGACGGGACGGGGGGTCGTCGTCCCTATCAACCTAGTAAATAAATAATAATAAATAAACAAGCGAGCTAATTACGTTTGTTACAGCCGGAGGATCGAAAAAAAACCAATTATTTTTATATGAGTTTAATAGAAAAGAAAAATTTACATGTCAAAATTACGTCTAAATAACCTAACGATCGGTTCGAGGTCGGAACCAGAATGCCTTCGAAATATTAATGAATTGAACAGCATAAGAATGCAGCGTGGGCAACTCGTGCCAGCTTGGCCTTGGTGTCGGTGCATCGTAGTAAGTCGTGGTTGCTACGTAAGCGATCTTCCTTACGTCCATTTACGTAATTCCTCCACCCCGAGATCAGCGACTATTTTAGGACTTTCAGAGAAGATGTCGCTGGCATGGAATTATCCTGTCTTGTCTTCTTGGCTGCTTCAGGATCTTCGTAAGTATGCTCCTTGGTATTTCAGGTTTGGTCTTCAGATTCCTTGTAGTTCCAGATTTTAAGTCTTCGACTCATAAAGACTGCGATTAAAACGATGCTGCTTAAGAGGATCACGGCGTAAAAAGGGATTGTCGTATGATATAGAGCTTCTTCCTGTGTCTGTTCCAGTTGTAGATTTGGTTCCGTCATGATTCTATTCTGGATGCTGTGTAGCCTTTGCAAGTCTATAGAGTCCAATTTAAGGCGTTGTGGTTTGATAGTGCTTGCATTGCTGTAGGGGATCTTTATGAGCTTCAGAGGCTGGCCGTGGATCTCATCATTCTCGTTGATGATGGTGAATTCAGCTGTCTTCAGGTAGCACTTTAATGGGATCTTGATTAGGTAACTACCTTGTAGGGATGTGGTGTCTTGGCTACTGCAGGTCGATTGTACCCTTGTTGAATGTGGGAACGATATCACGTAGTGTTGATCGTCGAGCTTCTCTAGGGCTTCCTTGGCTAAGGAGACAGTAGTGAACTGACAGGATTCGCTAAGCGTCTGCGTTGTGATGAGCTTCTGTATGCAGTCCGGTTGCGCACGGAGCTGAGTACTTATCTTTCGTTCGCAGAGGTACCAGGAACTCAACTTCGGGCATTCAGCCTCCATGTACACGAATGATTTCTCGTTAGTTGCCATGAAAGGAAAGGGTGGTATGAGGATTTGTTGGTCCTTGTTTGGGACTAGGGATAGTCTATAAAAACTAAATTCTTCTTTAGAAACTATGGGGAATTTGAAAATTACAACTACTTGTTTCCCTAGATAATAATAACCTGATTTAATAACGTCGTAATAATCTCTATATGCTACATTTAAAATCTGCTCCTTATTGTATAGTTTCTCAAGTTTATTTAACATAGTTTTTAGTACGTTTACAGTAATCATGGAATGATGTGTGGTCCCAACTCGGATAAAAGCTAACATATTTTCTACTCTCATTAATTCGACTATAATATCTTCTACGTTTTCACTAAGTATATCTAATAATTGAGCAAGTTTAGCGTATTTTATTAAGTTACTTTGTTTATAGGCATCCTTTTCTAGTAATAACTCTAAAGTAGAATTTATCTTACTTTGATTATCGACAATTTTGTTAAGGATTGCGTGATATTTAAACATCCATTCTTTATTAAGACTTGTTCGACTATTGGATTCGGATACAATTTTGTTTTGGTTATTCTGCAGTTCTTTAATAAGTGTGTTATATCGAATAGCGTCTGAATGATCTAAATTTCCTGTAATGCTTTTCACTACTGATCCTAATCCGTCTATAAGTCCTCTTTTAACACGATTTTCAGGTTCTAAGGATTGTAGTTGGGTTAGTGCGTTATTTATTTTACTAGAAAGATAATCTCTTTGAAGTTCGTACAACAAGAAGGTGTCATTAGGAAGTCGAGAACGGTAAGTCTGTAGTTGAGTCTGTACTAGGTTGATATTATTTTCAAGTTCGTCTAGTCGTATGTATTGTAGGAAAGTATGATATTGTTCAGTAAGTCTCGCTGTTCCAAGTTTATAAGGTAGTAGTCCCGGTCCCTCAGCTAGGCTTTCAAGTCTGATCTCTTGAGCTCTCGTCATTTGGCTGGTCAGTATCACGATTAGTCTGCAACAATTTGGCTGAATGAGGAATTCGTTTCAATCGTGATTTTGCTATAGGGCCGCGTTTCTTTGATGTATATATGTGAATGGGTAAGTCTGCAAGTACTGTATCATGGGTAAAACGTGGAGCTGTTTTTTGTCGGTCGGCAGAAGGGTTCTTAATGAAAATTTGTTGTGAAGGTAAGTATTCTATTTCAGGTTCCCTGTTCTTATTGCGATTATTTATAAGAGCTGTACGATCGGCAAGAGCTGTCTCATTAATAATTTCATAAACCTTTTTTATCTGTTCTCTGTGATTTTGTACGTACTGTTGTAATAGATGTTGTGTTAAATCGATTGAATAGGGTCTCTGGGGTTAAAATGTCCAGTAAGTAGATCGAAGGGTCGACATTTAGTGAAACTATGTATGGAACTATTATAAGCTATTATAGCATAAGGCATAAGGTTTATGATGGGTTCATCTTTTTGCTGTAATTTCAGGATGCGAAGATGCTCAAGGAGTGTAGAATGAAAACGTTCTACATTGCCATTGTCATTAGGGGAATGTGCGAGTATTCTATGGTGGTTTATTTGATATAATCTAACAAATTCAGAAAACAGTTGGTTGGTAAACTCGGTTCCGTTGTCAGTCACAATAGTCAATGGTACTCCATGGTGGGTACAGTATGTTAACAAAGCCTGTAATATGCTAACTGCTGTTCCATCTCGTAAATGATAAGCTTGACCATATTTAGTAAATACGTCAATAAACGTTATGTATTTTTCATTGTGTGCTGTGAACAGATCCATGTGTATAATTTCGAAGGGCTTAGTCGCAGGAGGTACTATATTAAACTGAGGTCTAATGGGATTACGGTCATATTTACCTTGACCACATATTGTGCATTCGTTAATGAATTTAGTTATGTGGTCCTTCATCTTAGGCCAATAATATTTCCGGGACAGAGCTAAATAACTTTCGGTTATTCCACGATGGTTGGTTTTGCCTTCGTGATACAGGCGGATGATATCTTGCTGACGCAAATATTCCTTGACATTTTCTAGCTCTGTTTTGGCAAGAACAAGATTCATAGCTGAACTTCGAAATTTATCTTGGAGTATTGGGATAATTGAATACATAGCTAGAGGTGGGTGTATCATGATAGCTGTTTTGACTTTTGGGTTGACGTAATCTTTGATAGCTTTAACAACGTCTTCTTCTAGGTTAGTTTCGGAGAGTTGTATGGAAATTCGCGTGTGTGTATCGAAAGGTTTTGTTACTACGGGTCTGCGTTTTACATCTTCTACAACTGTTAGGGATATTTGCCTATTAAATTTATTAAGTGGGTCATTACAATAGGTATCTCTAAGATGGGATGTTCGTTACTGGTATGAGCAGTTTCAGTGGATGATCTATGTTCACGGTTCGGAGGTAAGCTTTCAGATGGATTTCCTATCAGCGAACTAAGTTCTTTGAGATTGTCTATTATTGAGTCTATCTCCTCGTTGTGAATCTCGATACGTGAAAGGGCATCAGCATTAGTGTTGGCCTTGCCTTTTTTGTAGATCACAGTAAAGTCGTATTCACTAAGTTTCAGTCGCCACCTGGTGAGACGAGAATTAGGTTCTTTCAAATTCATCATCCACTGCAGGGGTTTGTGGTCAGTCAGTATCTTAAACTTCCTTCCAAATAAATACGGGCGAAAGTATTTAGTAGCCCAGACTATAGCAAGAAGCTCCTTTTCAATAGTGCTATAATTTTGTTCACTTTCGTTCAAAGTGCGTGAGGCATAGCAAACAGGTTTGTCAGCTCCTATGGGTCCTTGGGATAGTATTGCTCCAATAGCGAAATTAGAAGCATCAGTTGTTAGAAGAAATTCTTTATTAAAATCAGGATATTGTAATATAGGGTCGTTTGTTAGGAGAGTTTTGCATTTTTCGAAGCTTTCTACGTAGTCTGGATCAAATGTTATTTTCTTACCCTTTTTAAGACATTGTGTAAGGGGCTTGGTTATTTTGGCAAAATCTGGGATAAATTTTCGGTAATAACCGAGAAGTCCTAAAAATTGCTTTATTTCCTTTGGTGTTTTTGGAATGGGGTAGCCTTTGATAGCTGTGATCTTATCGGGATTTGGTTTAATACCATCTTTGCCAATGATGTGGCCAAGGTAAGCAGTTTCGAGCTTAAGGAATTCGGACTTATCCATTTGGATTTTAAAGTTCGATTCCCTAAGTCGCTGGAAGACTTTCTCCAGGTTGAGGATGTGCTCCTGGAGCGAGGTGCTGAAGACCACGATGTCATCGAGATACACTAGGCATATCTCGTTTTGGAGCCCTCTCAACACGTTATCCATTACGCGTTGGAAGGTCGAGGGTGAATTCTTAAGGCCCATGGGCATACGAAGAAATTCGTAGTGTCCATGTTCCACGTTAAATCCGGTTTTTGGGATGTCCTGGGGGTGCATTTCTACCTGATAGAAGCCACTTGCCAAATCTAGGGTACTAAAATACTGACACTTCCCTAATTTGTCAAGTACGTCATTAATGTTTGGTATTGGGTACTTATCGTCTATAGTTTTTTCATTGACTTTTCGGAAGTCGACTACAAGTCTCCACTTTTGCTTACCCGAAGCATCTAATTTTTTTGGGACTACCCATATTGGTGAGCTCCATGCTGAGTCAGATGGTCTAATTATACCTTGCTCCAGCATTTTATCTATTTGATCGCGAACTTCTTGTCGGTGGATAAATGGGTACCGATAACTTTTTGTGTGGACTGGGATTTCGTCAGTTGTTCTTATTTGATGTTTGATTTTATTGGTAAAGGTTAGTGCTTCGCCTTCTACGTAAAACACGTCAGAATAACGAGAGCAAAGAGCTACGAGGTTAGCTTTTTCCTCGGCATTTAAATGTTCAGTTCGAAGTCGCGAGATTACATCTTCAGTTCGAGATTGAGGTCGTTTAGTTTGTTCAAAATTAGTAT